AACCTAATATACAAACACCCAATTACACATTTTTACTGTGTACTGTATCATTTCAAAACTATGTGCATCAATAAATGTTTTCATTATTCCTGTCTTACTTAAATCTTGTGAATGTGTAGATAATATTTTTAGCAATGCTATGGCAGTGTTGGTTGGTCAGTCCACTTTGGTCTACACTGAAATAAACCAATAAATTGCCATGAAATTGCGTAAAACATTTATTTTGAGTTGATGAATGCTAATGTCTTTGGCATGCATCATCATGACGATGACATTCATAGATTTGAGTGAAATGTTGAACCAACTATCCTCAGCTGTAGGGGTAAAGTTAACCATCCCCACACGCAAAACAAAGACACACCGCAATGACGGTGGGTCATTGTCTACTGTTTGAGTGTCTATGGCCTTCGTCTTTGCAGTGTGTCACACACTGTTGGCACTAGCTGGACCCTGTCAGTGGCATTTTGGTTGATTTGACATGACACTGGATTGACATCAGGCCGGTCAGGCCTTGTTGGTGAGAGGACACCTCTCTGATTAGCTGTTCAGTTTAGCCAATCACTACATAAGAAGAGAATGATTCAGCACAGTTTCTCCTTGTTTTTTTGCCTTCACAACCACCTCTATTCTTCCACAACCAAAAGACCAAAGACAGAAAAACACCAGTGCCATTTGTAACTTCTTCAGAGACATATTCTCGATTAGAAGCAGCTTTAAACAACAACAGTTGTGAAAGAAAGCTACTTTGTTTACAGCTTGCATATCCGTAGTCTAGCTTTTCTTCGTTCCTTTTTTGAATAGCAAACACAGATACCACCTGCTGGTAGAGAGAGTTATTTCTCTCATTCAGGCACAGAATGTACGTGCTAGTTAGTTTTTGACTATAGTCTGTACAGTGTGTTCAAGTGCCACTTTTTTGACGTGATTGGCCCAGACAAAGGCGACATGAGGCAATGCAACAGTTGGCTTACATTGCTGCCAGTTCTTTCATGTTGGCTTGGCGTGTGTCTGCCCTAAGATGGTAAAGTGATAAACATTTACGTAATTATAAAACAAATGGGATACATGAGTTAAAGGATGTGGAAAATCCCATGCCAGGTATTATTAATGATGGCACGTAGATGTAAAAGAGATTTTCTGTCTGACTCTAAAGCCCTGTGAAAGTATGCAGAGCTTTACATGGACGTGCTGGCATCAGAGAGCTAGAGCTCAATTAGCTACTGTTGTGGGTGGGGCTGGAGAGCTAGTAGAGGTCCAAATCCTTTCTTGCAGGCCCAGCTGGGGGGGATTAAGAATGGTTCCTGTCCTGTGGCTGACCTCTCCAAAGCCGACACAAATGTCCTGACCCCCCCTCCACACACCTACCCCTCAGCAACACACAAACACTACAAAACCACCTCTTCTTGAACTCTCTCGACCCCCACAACCAAAACAAAGCACTCAGGTGACATCTCTTATCACAAGAGTACTCTTCAGCTCTTTGAATTGTTATCTTCAGTATCTCATCTACTCTGCAGTACATCTTTCTCTCTCATTCTTGGTTCCTCTGTCTTCCCTCTGGTGTTCTTTGACATGGTCAGATTTTTGAATGTCCTTAGTCGGTCATATCCAAGTACTGCACAGTCCTTTAGTTGCAGTGTGTTTTCAAATAAGAACCCAAGGTCAAAGACACTAAACATGAGATTTTGAATTACACATCTCAATCAGAATAGGAAATAACCACCTTGTATGGAGATTGGTAGTAAGTACTCTGAGAACTGTGGTGGTCTTTCAGGGTTATGACCCCTTTTAAGGTTAGAAGTCATGGTTTGATCAAAATAATGGCCACCAATTGGAGCTTCATTTAAGGCTAAGAGAGACTTGGTGGGCACGTAATGGATTAAATCACTCTAGGGTGCACAAGCTGAGATTACTTCCAATCAGCAAAGACCTTCACAGTTTCTGAGAATAATCCAAATGTGAGATTATATGTTTTTGAGATTTTTTTTGTATTAGTGCCTTCATTGATGGGACGAGACTTTTCTTAAAAAAAATATTAGCATATACTGAAGTTAGCATGAAGCCCTACCACCAAATATCATCAGTATCTGATTATTCTGTAAAATCCTGAATTATGTTTAGTGACAATGATAAAAACTGTTGTTTTTTGGAATGTCTGTATATGGCAGCTATGGCATGGTTAAGGTTAGGGTAAGGCTGAAGGAAAAGGTAACTGTCATGGGAGAGCAACTCTGTGTTGCTGCATAAAAAGCACACTACTTTTCTTGCATTGTTACGGCATTGGGCCTAAATGGTGCAGAATCACTTAATATGAACAATTTATAGGTATGAGACTCTGAGACAGAACAGTCTGTTTGTTCTTTCTTTCCTCATTTACACTAACAGGCTATAGGCAAAAAATCTTTTTAAATAAAATTCTGAACATGTTAAATCTTTACTAAATGTCTCTAATGGCTTTCTGACTACTTTCTCGTTATATTTTCTGTGATCCTAGTATTTGACTGGTGTGAGCATGATTACCCAGTGTCCCAACATATGAAAAGTACATACAATATAAGGCTTAGGTAAAAACAACCACAACAGAAGGCAAAATGAGATTTCTTCTCTCAGATTTGTTGAGGTATACAGTATGTGCATTATTATGCCTATTTCACTCCAGCACAATGATAACATTTATTTTGTCAATTTAGCATTATATCACATCTGTTTCACCAGTAAGTTATCACTGAATGTCTCTTAAAGAGTGAGCAAATGGGTCTCTACAAAACACGGAGTAGAATGTGTTCAGCATCTTTTTGTTCCTTGTGGTGATCAGAACAAAATGCCAACTTGTACATGACACCATATGTGTGGAGACCCTGTTTGTTCCTATCAGCCATCTCCCCTGCTCATCCTCCAATCTTTCCATCTTCAATTTCCACTGTCACTTCTACATTCATCGCCTCTGCCTCTCCAAACCCTTCATCTCTGCGCTTTTCCTCATTCTTTCCATCTCTCCCTCCCCTCCGTTGTTACCCTCCACCTCAGCGCAAGGCTGTCAGAGTTTTAGGGATCCAGTGAGCTGTGAAATCGCACAAATTGCTGTTGCTTTGCGTCTGGCCCAGTAACAGAGGGGGAAGAGAGAAGGAGAGGGAGAGAGAGAGAGATTTTATGCTTCAACACTTCCGAACCTGAATTGCCCCCTCCTGCACTGTGCCTTCTTCTCCTTATTCACTCAGACATGGACAAGCACATGCACAGCTGCAAGACAGCATATCTACCCACTACAACCCAAATACCTTTCTCCCACACACACACACACAGTCAACTTCATCACCCCACCACCGTAACCACAGCACTGCCCTCGCCACCGTTAAAGACACCTCCACCACTTTGCTTCTGCGTGCGGGTCACTTCACTCAACAACTCAATGAGAGCCTGCAGCCCTTAAGAGGAATAAAACCCCTTCTCAACCTGGGGAGGGCTGTTCCACCACCTCAAATAAAAAGAGCAAAACCACACACCCACATCTCCCCAAGCTACCACACACACACCGTGCCCCCAGGAACGCTCTCTGAGATGTGACAAAAACATGGAAAAGGTCACAAACATGTACATGGTAGCTGTTTTTGCACATTTGATGACTTATACTTAAACAGTATTTCAATTTTTCTGTATGTCCTGCACATATAGTGAATTGACAATAAAAAAATCTTTGACCTTTGATCTTATATTCATTTTTTTTCTTTCTGCTAACAGGTAGGTGCCACACTTTACTGACATAATGTCTGTTGGACTGCTTCTTTCAGAAGTGTTAATTATTTTTGCAAGTTTATTTATATTTTTAGTTATATGCAAGACATAAGGTTTCACAATATGGAGTGCAGAAATGTCCAACTGCAATTGTCCTGTAGGTCATAATAAAAATCTATGTAAAAGTTTAGAAATGATGAGCTTAGTGAGCTTAAAGATAAAATGAGGAACTAGCAGTTTGCACATTGTCCTCTATCTGAAAGGTATCTGATCATTGCTTAGGGAAGTGATTTTTTTAAATGTATTTATTTTGGCATTGTGTTATTGAAAGGACCTTTTTGCACCACATTGCTCACTTTATGTGCTAAATACAATGAAGCTTCAGGAACTGGTCTTAATGACACAAATGCACTGACATAAAAACATACTGAGTCACTTGTACATGGTCAAACTGGCTGATGCACGGTACAAAGAAACAGATCTGCAGAATTAAAACATACTGGCATCTACTAACTACAGAAAAAGATGTCAAGCTGTCCAGGCAGATTAGGGTTTTCCTTTGCGTGAAGCAAAACAATCTATACTGCCCTCCAGTGGAAAAAGTAATTTATTGCACCACCCAAAATTGATTTGCATGACAGCAAATGTGAAATGAATATGAATCATTTAAAGAGTCTCTCTCTGTGTTTTTTGCTTCACTGTTTTGCTCATGAACAGAACACTATTTACATGTAAATGACATTTATAGATTCATGATTAAAAATACAATTGTGTCCTTAGGTTTTAAAAGTCGAGGTGTGAGGAATTTGTAATGCTACAAAATATGTATTAGTTTCAGGGGCAAAAGTCAATCATGTTAGGTGAATTACAACATTTGCCCATGAGAAAAGGATCAAAGTACTATTAAAAAGGAGCAGGCTTCTGCTTCCAAACTGTGTATGTGAGTAGCATTACACTTTGGGCTGTCTCATCATAGTCTAAATAGGCTGTAACACGAGGGGTTAATTTGTTTTAACAAGTGAGAAAGGTTAACTTTAAGTATGTCCTTTGTATGGGGATCAGTTCCTCAACTCTGAATCTGAATTGCTTCTGTCAAAACAACGCTGCTTTGTGATCACAACCTGAAACTGTAAGTACTGAAATACCATAACAGGTCTTATAATACAAACTTTATGTAAGGCTTCAGCAGGTTTTACAACGTCTGAACACACACACACACACACACACACACACACGAAGAAGTCGTCGAGAAGCGTTCAACATTCACAGGTGCACCAAAGCTTTCTTCCGGTTTTCCTTAGTTTCATCGTAAAAGACGTCGCAGTGTAACACGTTAAAATTTGTTTGCTGCCATCACATACACACTATGAGTTGGCTTGCAAACAGCCAATGAACATCATAAGAAGAAGAACATGCACACTTCGTTGTGAAAAAGAGCGGTAGTTGTTAGATTTCTAGAACGTTTCAGACAACTAACTGTTATTTACAAAACACAAGAAGAAGAAGAATTTGTGGCGCGTTCCATTTGAACTGGGAAGTCGGAGCTCCTAATGAAGTCTTCAGATGAGAACACAGAAGAGGTCCTCGTCGTAGGCATTTCAGTTGTAAGACGGTAAAAACTGTTAATTTTAATGATTCAGCACATGGTGGTCAAGAGGGATCTGGAGATCTCTGCCACTCCGAAAGAATAAGCACTGTATAAATAAACTTCGTTAGTTATTAAGCCACAATGTGAAAACGAAACGAACAAAACACTATAATGGAGTTCCCCTGTGTGGAAATGCTTGGCTGATACCGTGTTCCTGTTACTAACATGAGTTCTGTGTGTCTGCCATCAGAGACTAAGAATACTTATTTTGGGCTTTAACAGAAATTCTGTAATTCTCATGGGGGACATGTTTTTAGCTGATGTTTTAAGAGGAGCTACCTCTGAAAAGCCCCACCACAAACCCTCCTTTTTACGAATTATATCAGACCTTCAAAAATGTGCATTTCTTCAGAATATTCATGCACTTTTACTTTTTATTTTCTGAACCATAAAGGAAACCATTAAATAGTAATTGTGTCGTGTGCAAAGATTTGGGCACCCTATGTCAGTTCTTATCCTCTTTGCCACCTGTTAATACCACCTGTCACACAGCTTATCAAATCTGAATAGAGGCCGGCTTCTACAAGTGGACAATAATCAACTTGGACCTCAAAATCCACCATGAACTGCTTGAAGAAACACACGGTTTATATGGTGGGGCAAATGTGACAGATGCTGTTTAATTCTTTTTCTATATTTTAAATACATTAAATATAATGTAATGGTGTGTTAGCAGTTGTGCTTTTTAATTTCAGTTCAGTTTAAGTTTGTGTTTATTTCTTCGAAAATCAACAAAATACTCTATGTAATTTGATTTTGATTTGATTTGATTTATTTATTCTTTCAAACATGTAACAACAGTCAATATGTAACCACACATAATTCCAGACATGTCCACAAATATATTTTCAATTTACTTATACCTAGTACATGCTTGAACGGAGTAGGAAGAAGTTAGACTTATCTAGTCCTACCCC